GTGGTATAGTGGTTCTGAGTTGGGCTGTGATCCACATGGTTGGCAGTTCAAAAGCACCAGCAGTTCTGAGGGAGAAAGATGGGGCTTTTTACTCCCGCCAACAGTTACTGTCATGGAATCTCATGGGGGTGGGGGTGGGATATCCCTGTGAGTCAGCGTTGGCTCCATGGGCGCGAGTGAGATGGACTGACTGAAGAATGAACAGACCTGTCTTGGAAGGGGGGGGATGGTCAGAACGATCCTTTGAAGTGAGGAGGTGAGACTTGGTCTCACATGTTTGGACATGGTATCAAGAGGGGTCAGCCCTGGAGAAGGACGTCATGCTTGGGAAAGCAGAGGGACAGTAAAGAAGAGAAGGTCCTTCAATGATATGACACGACACAGGGGCGTCAACAATTGCTCAAGTGTAACAATCACCGTGAGGCTAATGCGGGATTGGACAGTGTTTTGACTTGTACACTGGGTCACTCTCTACTGGAACTGACTCCGGAGCATCTGACAACAGTGAGAACAACAGACCTCCGTCAAGTGCTTTTCTTGTATGTTTGAAATAGATGGGGAAGGTCTGAACGGCATCCTGAATATCAGAAACACAGAAACGGGTATTGGGGGGCGGGGGGATCAATCATCTGGTGAGAACCAAACCGAAAAACCAAAGTCGTGTCCTTCCACAACTGCCTGTACTTCCTGCCTCCGGGCTCTTCACAGCACCGATTGCCTCGTGACTCCTCTTTCCCTCGATCACAGTGTGGGTCACGCAGCTGACCCAGCACACTGCTCCGAGGCGGGCGCACAGTGACAAGCATATTGCATTAGGAAATGAATGCACAAGCCCTGCAGCGTCAGAGCACCTGGGTTTAAGCCCTGGCTCTGGCATTAAAACGAAACGAGAAGGGCCAGTTTCTGGATATTTTTGAACCTCAGTTTCCTGATCTGGGGGGGGGGGGCGGTGCCTAGTAGAGTCACAGGGAAGAGCTGGCCTGAAGCAGTGCATGTGAACCACCTAGCCAGTGATCCGCGAACATGAGTTCCTGTCCCCCTGCCTGAATCAGCTCACGCTGCTCTCAATGCCAGGAGCCCAGGTGGTGCAGCAGGTACACGTCGGGCTGCGAACTGCAAGATCAGCGGTCAGCACCACCAGCTGCTCCGAGGGGGAAAGATGGGGTTATCGATAGTCTCGGACACAGGGGCAGTTCTACCCTGTCCTACAGGGGCCCTCTGGGGAAAAAGGAGTCACTAGGCAATTGGCTCTATTAAGAGCTCTAATGCAGGAAGTATAGGCAATTGTGAAGGACACGAGAGTGGGTCCTGATCCAGAGAGGAGTCGTCCTATGGAAGTTACCGGAAGTTACGTATCAAGTGACCACCCGGTGGATGAGGTCACTGGGATGGGAGTGCTAAGGGGAAAATCCTCATTTCAGGCTCAGCAACAGGTTTGTCCTCCCTCTGACTAAATAATGAATGGCCACAA